ACGGTGAGGTAGTCGGACGGTTGCCCCAATGAGTCAGAGAGCCTCAGGAGAGGAGTGCCGTCGGGTACACGCATGCTCTCAGCGTCATTGTTATTTTGATAAACTGATTGCAACCCTGTGTGGCTTTCAACTCTGAAGAGATTGTCTTTCAGTGTCTGTATTTCTGCATTTTTCGATCACACTGCACACTTAGCCTGAGCTCAGCCATTTCGTTTCCATCAGTGTGGGCTTATTCTACTCTATAAACACTACTGTCTATGCTCTGATCCAAGGCACTGTTGCCATCTGCTGGCAATTGCACCTCCTTACAATCCTTTCCAAACTTGATACTCTGCGAGGAATTGCATTAGGCCCTTGTGCGCACAATGCATGAAAAATCGACAATAATCGAGTTAATATGTGGATGATGCTAAACAGTTGGGTTGTAAAAAAAAATGTGTTTACATAAGGTTGTGAATAAATGTGTTAAGCACTGTAACAATACAATCTGTCGTAATGAACTGGGTTATGAATGTTTTATTGTTAGGCTAGCGAGAGTGTGAGGGAGAGAGAGAGAGCAGGAGTGTGTGCACAGTGTTTGTGGCTCAGCTTGTGACAACATCCACACAGTATATGCTTTGTTGCAAATACATTGGTACCTCTACTTACGAATGTCTCTTCTTACGGAATTTTCTAGTTACGAAACGCCTTAACAGGAAAATACTGCAGGTAAGGTAAAAATACAGTATGAGTTGCTACTCACAGCTCCGAATTTCCTGAACGCAACATACTTATAGCTGCTCTGCGATTGGCTATTATCGAGCATCATCCTGCCATCCCATTGGCTAAGAGGACCTTTACCATATGTGTCTATGAAGATAAATTGATCTGTGTCTATGCAGCGTCCTCGTCATTCGCCCCTCTGGCCATGAGGCATTCCGACAGTTTTACGTAAATGTGAATCACCCAGAAAAAGTGTTCACCAGTTGGGCGATTGTTCCCTATGCTGATGTTTGCCTTGGACATTTTGTTAGAAGCCGACAAAAGCAAACGTCCTTGGATCAGTTCTTTTCAAAACGCCAGGCAAAAACCACCTCTGGGAGAGAACATGCACTAAAGAGGGCAAAAAAATGATTAGGACACAGTTAACCCATGTGCGTTGATTTTTTTTTTTAACGACACATCGGACAAAGGCACCATAATGGAACGGTGGCTTTAAAGTGTAATATCAAAGTCATTTCTAAATCCTTTTTTTTTCTTGCGACCACTCAAAATGTTCAGTGGCGTCAGACCTATCCATACATATATAGTTTCTATTCACTTATTGAGGTTGGTGCCCTCTATGGACATCAAAGCAATAAAAAGCAGTATTGTGCTATGGGTATAAGTAACTATCATCTGCATATAAGTAAAAAACAAAAACATTGAATTCGGACTATTCAATATGGACAAGTTAGCGCCTTCAACATGTTAATAGATCATGACATAATTTTAGTTTGTACGTCAACAGTCCTGTTACGGGATGTTTTGGTGCACACGGGTTAAAGGTTAAATGACCATCATTTTTATTCTTTACTCTATTCTTTGTTTTTTACATTTTGCACACAACTCTCATTTATTGTGCAATATTCTAATTGTAACATGTATTTGTTACATATTTTGATGCATTTTTATGCTTTAGAAAACATTTATGTCTAAATTTGGGCCTTGGAACAGATTAGGGCATTTACATGAAAAATGCATCTCTACTTACAAAATTTTCTAGTGAAGAAATTTCTTCCAGAATCATTAATTTCGTAAGTAGGGGTACCACTGTAAACCTGAGTCATGATGTTTTCCAAGAACCTTAGAAAACGTTACAATGTCTAGATGTAAGCTTCATCGCGCTGCCGCGGCAGTTCATTAAACATCCAATTATCTAAAAATTCAACTGCAAACTACTGTTTCGCATAAGTCATCACACTTGAAAGACCATTTCAACATATTTGCGATAGACTTGAGCAGCCACAATTGTAGAAATAACTGATTGTCTGTGGTCTGCCAGGGAGAGTCAAGATAAAATGCACTTGATTTTTTTTCCTTTTTTTTAATAATTAATTCGTGGTGCGGTAGGACGCAACAGTTTCTTCTTGAAAGGAGGGGCCGTCGGAGTGGGAGTAAATTCTAAACTCGGTTCGATATGGGTTTATTTTAAATGGGAAATTGTAAATTTACAGCATTGTTTTTGATTGCTCTCATTTTTATTTACATTATTATTGTTTTTATTGTCATCTACCCTTGGAAGGCAAAATATACGATCAACCTGTGTGTCCATTTGGAGCCTTTCAAATGCATTTCATACAAGGTAATAAGTCATGGTTCCCGGCAAATATATCAGCTTTGTGGTTAACTATACAAGCTTAAATTTCACATTAAATAAGTACGAAACCGAGATCATTATCTCAGTATGGATACTTTTTGTCATTTTTGGCTGGTGGTTTATCATGAGCTTTTTATTTTGCAAAACACGTGTCTTGGCTCCCCAGGTTGGAAAACACAGATTTTATAACAACTCTTCTTAATAAAAGTTAATATTTTTAAATAAGTCTAATATTATGCACTTAAATTAAGATGTGTCATAATTCATATCCAATACGAATAGAGTAACGATTATGTGAATTATTACTCTCTACGTATTGATAATTATTTGTGAATGAGCTCAGCTGATGCATAAATTTCAATTTTGCCATCTCATCATTCACAGGACAGTTTTTATCTTTGTGACGATAAAAGCCACCACATTGGATTTTTGACGAAACGAACAAGATGTGATTTAATTGCAGACTTTCATCTTTAATTTGAGGGAATTTACAGTACAACCAAATCAGGTATTATTGTAGGAAAAATAAAAAAGTTAATAAATATGCCTTTCAATTTGTATGACGGGGGGCTGGCTAGCTGCAGACTGACATTGATTTTCCTTGGATTAAACCATGAGAAACAAAACACTTCATTTATGAATTTTGCGATCTCCAGCCAGCTGTAATTGCTATGTCCATTTTGTTAACCTGACGTGTGGGATATAAAAAGACTCGGTAGCGATCGCTTGCAATGTTGACGCTAGCAAATAGAAATGGATCAAAGCTATGGAGATGGTTAAAGCTATGACGTTCATCTTGCCTTCTTACTAGTTGAAATAGGTTCAAGGTTTTTGTTTTGGTTTTTTTTTGTTTTTTAAATGACAACTGTCTTTTGAAAAAAAAATCAGTTTCGGCTTTCATTTCAACCTTTGCCGAAACTGTCAGTGTCAAGGCTGCGAACCACTTCCTCCCGCCCCCCCACAGCGCTACCATTAAAGCAATGTGTGCCTATTGATGGTGCCATCTCCGACAAGCGGGTGAACGTGTTATCACCCAGCTGGGATGCATTGCTTTGGGGGGCGGCAAGGGGTTGGAGCGTAGCTTAACAAATCAAAAAAAAGATATCACTTCAACAAAAAAAGTTATCGTGAACACAACACTTATATGAAGTATGCGAGACAGTCAATTGACTGGCGATGATGTACAGCCAGTCAGCTCCCGGGATAAATCCACTCGTGCTCTCATTGGTCGATGTTGTGCCGGGAACCAATCACGCGCCTTTTTTGAGTGGCCATGTAAAAAGCCTCTGAGTCACATCAGTTCTTTGTTCAGCATGCAGGGGAACCTTTCTCGCCCATATACATGAAACAACGCGACTTTCCGCAATATGGCTGCCAACATGGCTGTGTTTTATTTATTTATTTTAAAATGAATATTGGGGAAGAAAACGCGAAACACTGAAGCCACAAAACTCAAAGTGGTGAGGAATCACTGTAGAGTGAAGCCCTTAGCAGCCCGACTAAGCAGCAACGTGCCTATGTCCGACACCACCGATATTTTAAACACACTCATTATTTTATACTGAGACAAGACAAGAATGATATTGAGTCACTTTTATCACCACAGTATTATGAATATATATATAAACATGCAGCCTACCAAAATAAAGTTTGGACTTTCTCCTTTCAGCAGAAAAAAATTTTTTTTTTCATTCTTCAGCAATCGGCATTACAAAATGGCTAAGTTTCATGAAAATGGCGATTCCTGGGCAAAAAACAGAGAAAAAGAGCTCTTTGTAAAAGCATGCATTTCAAGCACGTGAGGCACCACTGCCACTTACTGGTCTCTTTTCTACATGCTTTACAATGCAAACGGCTTATTCTCATTCACAGATTGCATCAGACCCTCGTCCTCTCTATGACGCAAAACAACAGACCTAGACTTACAAGTATGTCCTTGGTAGGCGGGGCCTAATTTTAAAAAGACGTACAAGTACGTCCTGTGGAATTAAAGAGTTAATTTTTGGCTCCTCATTCAATGGCAAACACTCACTTTGTTTTGCTCATCAATTTGTTTGTCTCACCAGTCCTAAAACCACATTGCACGTCACTGTGCCTCACAGTTCTGAGGTTGGGGATTCAAAGCTGGACTCCAACCTTTCTGTGTGTTTGTAGTTTGCGTGTTATTCCTTTCCTTTCGTGATTTATCCTCAGGTACTCCAGCTTCCTCCCACATTTCAAAAACATGCATGCCGGGTTCACTGAAGATTAAATATTCCACAGTTGCGAATATTTGTCTGTTTAAGTGACCTGCGATTGGCTGGTGGCCAGTCCAGTGTGTAGCCGACCTTTTGCCCAAAGTCAGCTAGGAAAGGCTCCAGCTCATCTATGACACTAACGAGAATATAGAAAATGGATGATTACAATACACAAATTGTAGATTTTATCAAACAAAACCATTGTGAGACCACAAACACCATTCTTGTGTTTTGCTGTTTCTGTCTTTTGAACAACAAACAAGAAGTCTCCCAAATAACAATTGCGAGCCTTTAGTTGGTTTTAATTTCTTAAGACTTATTCAGGGTTAATTTAGAGGACAACAAAGTTTAAACTGTGATATGGAGGGGTGTTACAGTGCAACTATTTTTTTCCTATTAAATTTAATATTGTTGGTTTATCACAGGTGCAACATGCATCCTCAAGAAGAAGTTCTCAGCCTCACAGTTCTGGAATGACTGTCGCAAACATAACGTGACAGTTTTCCAGTATATTGGTGAATTGTGCCGATATCTCTGCAACCAGCCCAAGGTAACACTGTCTGTTATTTAACTGTGTGTGTGTTGATAAATATAGATTGGTATTCTATTTTCTATCTTCTCCATCCTCAGTGAAAATGTATATATCTGTCTCAAGAAAAAATATTTTGATCAATCATTCCAGGGAACCATCCCAAATGTTTCTTGTGCTCTCCAACACCAACACCTTCATTGTTTTACAAACTAGTGCTGATGTTTGATAGCAACCGAGCCAATATGCTTAGCTAATTTAGTGAAAGACAACCCAGTCAAACATTTTAAACATACCTATGAGATAACGTCTTCCGCGAACACCATAATGAAGGAAGTGGCTACTTCACAGCCAGTCAGTCTTGCTGGCTTCTCTGTAGAACTATTTACGGCATCTACTCTCAAACCCACAAGATCCTCTCGATTAATTTAGAATGTTTTTTTAAAGGAAATTGAAAACCCCCCAAATCTTTTGGTGGCACATCCCCAAAAATGAGTTTCTGTCATTGTTTTAATTTCACATCATTAACAGTAATTTTAAACAGGAGCTGCCAGGATTTGTTCAACACTAATTGTTTAGGGTCAGCACTCCAGTATATATTTTAAAAGCAAGAAACATATTGAGGGTCAAGGATCATATCATATTTGGTCACATTTTGCAACAATGAATTCTTTTGTCTAGATTTTCCATCATCTCTGACAGTTTTCTTGTCCAAAATCACCGAGTCGTGAATCACACTATGCGCTGTGAACCAAAGAAAACCGTCTTTTGTTGCCTTTGTTTGCTCCTCCCACAGTGGACACATAGACATGCACGTACGCGTAATATGATGGCAGAGCTCCTTATTGAGGCAAGACTGAAAGTCCTCTTTGTCCACTGCCCCTCTGTTATTTTGTTGAGTGGGTGAAAGCTTGGCCATGCCACTGTGCTCATTTGTCGTCGTCAGAATATCAGTAATTAGGAAACCAACCGTTTACACACATGAATTACACCCATCAAAGGACATACTCACGCAGTGAGTACTTATTACTGCGTATATAAAACCTTGACGAGTCAACTGACAACCCTGATTGTATTTTTCTCCCTTTTATTCAAGGGCCTGATATTCAAAATGCAAATGTTAATTAAAGCTATAACTGATAAGACGCTAATTTGGTGGTCAGTTATCTAACGTCATATGAGGAAACCGAGCCGACAGTGATGGTTGGACCGCTTGTCCTCATTCAGGTGGGGTGTAAGCCGCAGCCTATCTCAGCTATCCTTGGGTGAAAGACTGGACAGACTCAACTGGTTCAGCCTCTCACACGACACATTTTATTATTTGATTACAGTACATTTTATTGCCAAAAATATTCGCTTATCTATCCCAACTCACTTACAACATCCCATTGTTATTCCATAACTCTTAGCATTACCCACCCATCCATCAATCCATCCATCCATTTTCGACCCCTTATCTGGGGTCGGGTCGTGGGGGCAACAGCTTTAACAGGGAAGCCCAGACGTCCCTCTCCCCAGCCACTTGTTCCAGCTCTTCCCGGGGGGTCCAGAGGTGTTCCCAGGCCAGCTGGGAGAAATTGTCTCTCCAGCATGTCTTGGGTCGTCCCCGGGGCCTCCTGCCATTGGGACATGCCCGCAACACCTCACCAGGGAGGTGTTCAGGAGACATCCTAATCAGATGGCCGAGCCACCTCATCTGGCTCCTCTCGATGTGGAGGAGAATCGGCTCGACTCTGAGCCTCTCCCGGATGACCGAGCTTCTCACCTTATCTCTAAGGGAGAGCCCGGACACCCTGCGGAGAAAACTAAATTCGGCCACTTGTGTCCGGGATCTCGTTCTTTCGGTCATGACCCATAGCTCCGCCTGTCGTTCTCCCGCTCCCTCCTGCCTTCACTCGTGAATAAGACCCCAAGATACTTAAACAACTCCACTTGGGGCAAGATCTCCTCCCCAACCTGGAGAGGGCACTCCACCTTTTTCCGACGGAGGACCATTGTTTCAGATTTGGAGGTGCTGATTTGCATCCCAACCACTTCACACTGGGCTGCGAAATGCTCCAGTGAGAGTTGGAGAGCCCTGCTTGAAGAAGCCAACAGTACCACATCATCTGCAAAAAGCAGAGATGCAATACTGAGGCCACCAAACCGGACACTCTCAACGCCTCGGCTGCGCCTAGAAATTCTGTCCATCAAGGTTATGAACAGAATCGGTGACAAAGGGCAACCTTGGTGGAGTCCAACCCTCACTGGAAACGATTCTGACTTACTGCCATCAATGCAAACAAAACTCTGACATCAGTGGTATAGGGACCGAACAGCCCGTATCAGGGGGTTTGGTAGCCCATACTCCCGAAGCACCTCCCACAGAACTCCCCGAGGGAGGTACCCACCCTTTGTAGCAATAACACCCTTCTGGGAAGGCCTTCTGCAAAGTTCAGTGGTGTATTTATGGGATTTTTTTTTTTTCTAATAATTCTCCCTGAGGTCATTTGGGAGATCACATGCTGATGTCAGACGAGAAAGTCTGTCTCTCAGTGTCCACTCAAATTAATACCAAAGGTGTTCTATCGGTCATGGTCAGGACTCTGCATGGCAGTCAAGTTTATCAACACTAATCTCTATTATCCATGAACTCTATTATCAAACATGATTCCACTCTGTTTAGTCCCCAGTAAGTGGCAGTGGTGTTCCGGTCTTTCCTGCTGCACACTTGTTCCTCATTTGAACACAGACTATTAAGGGACATCTCGGATGACTGTCCAATAATACACCGTGCTTATGCGATTTGTTCAAGTGCAGTTTTCTAGACGTTTCAGATATTGCTCCATATTCTCGTTCTTGGTTCTCTGTTTTTCCATAAGTAGTTTGCTTGTGTTTGCTATTACTATCGTTTTTTGTATTTTCGCAATTGGGTCATCTTGTCCTTTGTTGACAAGCTATTTTCGTTGCAATTTTCCTTGCCTTCTGCAAGCGCTTTGGGTTTCTCTCATTTTTTTGCTGGTATGCCTACCAGCGTCACTATTTGTACTTTGTCGCTTTTGCGCCATTCTTCCTGTAAAATAAATCTTTCTTTTGTACCTTTATCTGAGTCATTGGTTTTGGAGTCCGATTCTGTTCCAGAACCTTCCGGAACCGTGACAGCTTTGAACACTGGTGTACAGTCACATCGGAACAGGAACGGGCCATCCCCTAACACAGGGGTCGGCAAGGCCAAAATGTTGAAAGAGCCATATTGGACCCAAAAAACAAATATGTCTGGAGCCGCAAAAAATGAATAGCCTTATCATGAACTCAACACATGCTGTATGTATCTGTATTAGTGATATTAGCCTGCTATCAACATGACTAAGTTGGCCTGCAAATACACAAGCATTCATGATTAAATGTTTTTTTTCCCCCTGCAGTTCATCCTGTAGAGCAAGGGTGCCCAAACTTTTTTGACGGAAGATCTACTTTTCGATCAACCAACCTCCCGCGATCGACCCGTTACCGCACACGCGCACACACATACACTTCCACACGCATGCCATAATGAGCAACAGCCATAACGGCCGCTAAGATGAACGAGGCACGGGACGCACTTTCGCAGCGTTCTAAATATCATAGCTCACCTGTACCGTTTAAAAATGCTTCTCTCGGCCGCTCAGATTCCCTTTCTTTGCAAGTACCCTCGATGAATTGGACAAGAAAGGCTGGTTTTGTTTGTTTGTTTGTTTGTTTGTTTTTCAACCGCCCCCTGACTGAAATCCCGCCCTGCAAATAGAAATGTGTGTCACAGGCTATGACGCAAATCCTCATTGACAAAATGTTGAAATGTAATCTATATCCAACACATTTTTACAGCATTGGAAAACGTTAATAATGTTTGTGTCATGTTTGTCCCCTGATAGAAACCATATTGAAGCAAAAAATATATATTTCCCTCCCCCATTATTTTCCATTTTTGAAAAAGCTCCAGAGAGCCACTAGGGTGCGCTAAAGAGCCGCATGCGGCTCTTGAGCCGTGTGTTGCCGACCCCCGCCCTAACAAAAGCTACATGGAATTGAGAAAGAGAGAGAGAGTGATTGGCCTTGTATGAAAAAAGCAGCACGTGTCTCTTCGCCTCCTCCTCAACAATACCGATTAATTTTCTTATCATTAACACATCGGCTGCGTGGGGATAGCTGGCCAGGAGCTAGCTGGAGGCTAACGGCGGCTACACCGTCAGAGTGTGAAGTGAGAGTCGCCTTCTACACCACTAACACAAGTCTCTTCGCCTCTCTCAGGAGGCGGTGTTGATGAATGTTAATTACTGTACAAGGTTTTATAATTAAAGATTTAAGTACATACATTTACAGCTTTCTCAAATATGTAAAGTATAGGCACTGTTTACATATTTGAAACATGCTGGTACCCACATGCACGTACACAAAAATTCCCAAACCCTCCTTCGCGGGTTTCACTTATCGCGGCAGGGTCCCGGTCCCCATTAACTGCGATAATTGAGGGAACACTGTAATACATTTAGAGATGTATGCTAATTTTGTTTTTCAAAGCTGGTCTGAACCCAGATCAAGTTCTCCCTACCACATTCTGTATTATACAGTACATATATTGAAATGAAAAGTCTTGACATACAAGATATTTTAAAAGATTTGGCTTTTTTTTTTTGTTACTTTGATTGTAATGTAATCTTTACCACCTTCAGACAGAGATCGACAAGGTCCACTCGGTGCGGATCGGAATCGGGAATGGGCTGCGTCAGGATGTCTGGCAGGAGTTCCTTCGACGCTATGGAAACATCCAAATGTGTGAAGTGTATGGCTCCACGGAGGGAAACCTGTGTTTCATGAATCACATCGGCAAGATTGGCAGAGTGGGGCGTTCCAACTTCATCTACAGGGTGAGTAGACGGCAATCCCAATATCTATTGTAGTAGTACATTGTTTTATATTGTTGTGCAAAGAGATACCGGTCAAATAAACATGTATGGTTTGAATGGTTGTAATTGGTTTGGCAGTGAAAATGACCTAAAAACTGAAAAATACACTTCTCTATTGATTTATTGCACTTCTACGACAAAATATTTGTTTGAGTGGGTTCGTCCATATTGGCCACCAAATAGGGAACTGACATCACTAGTGTGTCATTTGCTGGTCCGCTATTCATTTTAAACACGGATATTTGTACTGGCAACTTATTCCTGGCATTTGTCGATAATCGTAGGTACACGTTTCAAGAGAAGAGAGACCAGAATGAAGACAAACATAGGCACAGGAAGGCCACATTCACAATTACCGGTAGACTGCACAGATTTACACTGCACAGATTGTATTTACTTGTTTTTTGAATTTTAATTTAGCAATTCCAGCCAAAAAGACAGAAGTCAAGCCACAATTGCTTACATCATTCATTACGGTCACACACCGCCAACAGGTTGCCAACTTCAAAATAAAAGAAGTTTGAACCCGGAGCATTGGCCGGTCTGTTATGTAATGCGAAGTATGAACAATTGTTGTCGTAGCAAGCTTGACTTCGGCTTCTTATGTGTCTGAAAACATAAGGATTGACAAACAACATATTGGTTGTGTTGCTTCTCTGCGATGTGGCCTAATCCTTTCAGAATCAACACGAAAGGCATTGCGTATATATGCTCAATGCCAATTGGGCTTGTATCATGCACTTCGATAGGACGCTAGCATTCTTATTTGCCCTTTTAACCCTCCTTCCCGAGCCCGAGACAGATAAGTCCTGATCTTCAGCCGTAGGTGCTTGAGACACAGACATAAACAAACAATAAAACATGCCCTGCAATATCAATGTCTTCGTTGGATTGCTATTTTCTCCAGACCCACGTGCTCCAACCTGATTGGCTGGAGCATTCCTATGCTAAGCCGTTCGCCAGTCTCATTGGAACTCGTTTCCCCCCCTTCCATCCTCCCACTACATGTCAAGTTTTGAGATTTATTGTACTTGTCTTTTAAATGTACGCTCCGTGTGCTGAGTTTTTTTTTCCTTGGGTTCAAACCATGCTCCCACTTCGGGAGAATGGTTGGAGTATGTCTGGGGGTGGGGTGGGGGGTGTTCTCCCTCTTCTTCTCTATTGTTTTCTTTTCACATCTACGATATTAGGCCGCTTAACAGTTAACCGCCGGGCGTCCCATTCTGTTTCCCTCTGTTGGTCATTGTTTTATGTTCCTCTGGATGGTTGTAACACTACAAAGTAAATTCCTTTTGTGTTTTTTACATACTTGGCCCATAAATTTGAGTCCTTGCTTTCATTGTCTTGTTTGCTAATTTGCCAGCTTCTAAAGTGGATTTGTGGTTTGAATTCCCACTACAAGCCGCTTGCCCACTTGCTTCCATCTGTGAGTCAAAATCAAATTGGATGGATCTAATTTCATAAAATGGGGTGAATATGAAAATGCAAATACAGTTCATGTTGGATGGGGTTTCTTTTGTATGCGCTATATATATTTGCTGTGAGTGGAGGAAGGTTTGAGCAGTTCGTGACTCCCAACTAACTCACACCATCACAGAGGCTGGCTTTTGAAATTTGCCCTTACAACTTTGAATTGTCCTTTTCCTCTTTGATCTGTAGGTCACGACGTCGATAATTTCTAAAGACAATTTGAAGATAAGATATCCTTCATTTGTCCCACACTGGGGAAATTTACATGTGGAATGTGGACTCATCAGACCACAGCATACTTTTCCACTTTGCGGCAGTCCATCTCAGAGGAGCTTAGACCAGAGAAGTCAGCAGCGTTTTTGGGTGTTAAATGGCTTTTGCTCTGCGTGGTAGCTTTCTTTTGTAGGTGTAGCAACAAATTGTGCTGACTCGAAATGGTTTTCTAAAGCGTTCCTGAGCCAATGTGGCAATATCATTCACTCTGATGGCAATTTCCAATGGAGTGCGGTTTGAGGAATTGAATGTCACACGCACGAAATGTTGTTTTTCGGCCTTGATGCTCAGATGCAGACATTTCTCCAGACTTTCGAAAACCTTTTTACTATATTATGTAACTAAGATGATGAAATCTCTACATTTCAGGCCATGTATCCCATTTGACATCACAGCAAATACAGTACAACCATGACCAATCTGCTTTAAACAATGTAAAATAGATAACTCAAGTGGAAAACAAGTAACGTTTTTTTTTCATCAAATACCATCATGTAAGAGTCTTGCCTATACTGTATTTAGGAAAGTTTGTTTTCCTCTTGCGTGTAAGAAGAAAAATTCAATCATTGTGTATGTTTTTAGTTTGAAATAGACACCAATCAGGGTCAAATCCAGGTGACACTCCATTTTCAACATTGTGTTATATCCGAGACTACACATGCTATTTTTTTACTGAGTGGCACAACACCCACATTCGGCTTTTAACACTGTGGCCTAACTGTTAACATTGGTACATTTGCAGTGTAGTTACTTCAGTTGAAAATATTCCCTCACAGAATAAATATGATATGGCTTTTGAAATTTGCCCTTACAACTGTCATTTCTGCTTGGCTCTCGACGAAGGCGGATGCTTTTTTGCCCTGCTCCTGCTCCTGCCCCCCCCCCGCTCGCCACTCAGTCTATGTGCTGTCCTTGTGCTGTCTTTTCCTAGCCTCCGCCGTATTTTTCATCCTAAAAAA